TGGAATGGTTGGTACACGCACACACACACACACACACACACACACACACACACACAAACACAATCACAGTCTCTATGCATTGAGGAACAGGTAATTCCATTCCACCATCACGTTGCCCAAAACAAGCCATTTCCTGTTGAAGCGTGTTTGCACTCTCCGTACGCAGACCTGCTCTCTCAATAACAGGTAGGCTGGAGTGAATTACACGCTTCACTGCACAAGCTCACCCTTCCTGCCTTAGCTGGGAAAAATCAGTCCTTTTAGCTGTACCTTCCTGTGTAAACAGATTTTTCCCTCTGCACTGCCCAAACAATTACTCCCAAGCAACTTTTAAGGATTTTGAAAGTCTGGGAATGTGTTAGGGTCTAACAAAAACAAAAACTAAAAATCGCCTTTTACTAGTCTAACAGTTAGACTAGTAAAAGGTGATTGAAGGTTGCATAGACAGCGTAGTTTAAAATGCCTGTGAAATAATAAAAGTGTCCTTGACAGTGATGTTGAAGCCCTAGAGTCAGTTCCCTGAGTTTCTGACAGCTTGATGATGCTGGGGAAATAGCCACTTACAGACTGTGTATCACATTGAAAGAGGCTTTCAGAATCAGATATGGACTATTTCAGATGGCAAGCAGCTGAAGATGCAACCCACGGACTATTGAATGAATGAATAAAGGAATCAGTGCAATGTATTGCATATTACAGGTAGATTTGTACCCATAATTAATCTTGAATTAAAACAATAGCCCTTTAATTTTTGAACCAACTAGCACTTGGACACTTGCTGACTCCCACACAGAAACTCAGACTGCATTTTAACATGAGGACGGAGGGCTTTCTACCTTGATTGATGCTGAATAACTGTTTTCCTGGATAAACATGAACAAAAAAGGCAATAGGTTCAACCTCACAAGGCTATTCAATTAACTATGATGTGATGCCAGCTGGATTAAGGAAAACTGCAGTGAGACTTCCAGTGTCATGGCGTTCTGAAGATATAGCCACAGGCATGCATCTCCACCCATCGTCTTGTGCTATTTGATTTTAAAAATCCCAAACCCCCTTCTCATGCCAAGTGATTTAAAGATTCCATGTTTCATCTGATCATTTTAGGAAAATATGAACACCTTTTATATCCTATTCTTCCATGGTCACTGGGATAAGAACAATTGAAGTGACTAATATTGTGCCTTATTCGTATATATATATATATAGAAGGTTTTGTGAATGAGTTGTATCAACATATATAGTTTTGTCTGTCTAAGTAATTTCTTGACATGTTGTGTACTACATTAAGTTTTTTTCCATGTCTGTTTGTGTATGTTGGGATGCTTATTTTGTATATAACTTAATAAAAGATAAAGCTGTGGTGTTTAACACAGCAGAAGAAGAAGAAGGAGAAGAAGAAGAAGAAGAAGAAGAAGCAGTCAATTACCGCCCACACACTGACTCCAGACTCATCAGTATGATCCTGTTTATATACTTCCCAGGGGAACCCAGGATCATAATTGCTTTCAGAGCAAACCCCATCAGTTAGCCTCTAATATTGTTCCAGAGTCTCCAATGTGCCTCCAATCCACCAGCCTCTGCCTGCACCTCTTTAATTTTAAGAAGGGTAGAGAGTACAAACCTACAGGAAAAAAGACTTGGGGAGGCTTTAGAGGGCATTCGTAACATAAAAGACCCCTATTGTACCAATTAAGCATGATTTCAAAGGATAAGGCTGATGTTATTCAACATGTTTCTTATTGTCAACAAATCCCATGAGAAGAACATGGCTTTATCCAAAATCACCCCCTATTTACTGTATAGTAAACTATATTTACTGAGGTTCAGCATTCTGAGAGTGAAAGTTTATCCACAGTATGACGCTCTCTAAACCTGGAACAGAAAAAGTTGCATCCATGGCATGTACACTACTTTCAGCTAACAATCACACAATACATTGCTTCACATTTTATAGATGTAAAAATTACCATTGTAACACCTACAGTGATGATGCAAGATGATCATTGGTTTTGGTCTGGTTTTATTGTGTCATAAAACAACATATGCATAATGCACTTGTCTAAACATGTATAAAGAAAAGAAATGAGAAGAAAGAAAGAAGAAAAGCAAAACAAAGACACAAATTCAATCCAGAGACTATTTCCAGCTACAGATTTTGTGTGCTATTGAGTATTTATGTGGTGTTTATCATAATGAAGAAACATGTTTTTTGGACATCAATGGAGCTCTATGGTACAGAGGAATGAGCTATAATTAGGCTACACAGATAATACTTTTTTAGGAGGATCTATCTATTGTTGGTGTGTGTCTTTATATGGGATTTGTTGACAATGTGAAAAATAAAGAATGTCTCCAACTTTATCCTTTAATGTTAAATATCTTCTGATATGAACATGTGAGAGGAAACATTAAGACTCAGCTGTATTTGCCTGCAGTGGCACACATTATTTAGATGTTGATCATTATCATAAGGGTAACTGTACACTTTCTAAAGTGTATAGAATTAGGCTAATGGCTCAGCTAAGAGCAGAGGTGGATTAAGTGGCACCTGTTGTGTGGTGTGAGGGTTTAATGCTGCTTCCTTTTCTCAGAGACCAATTAATTACCAAAATCCTCCTGACAGTTGACATCTCATTAAGCTCCTCCTGGTGGCACACATTCAAGTCGCAGTCCTAAACTTGCTCTGTTCCTAATTTGAGGGAATAAAGGCGAGATAATCAAAGCGGCTGTTTTCTTCCCCAGATGGAGAGAAGGGGATAGCTGCATCTCAGAAGAGGTGGCCTCGTTAGCCGATTTGATCACAATGTGGGCATTTTGATACGAGGTGTAAATGCAAAGATCAATGGATTGGATTTTATTATCCAGACAATATATCCAGATCCAGATTGCATAATTCCAGGTGTAAATGAGGCCTTAAGGTATATGAGCATGACTACAAATTGGGCTATGTAATGTCACTCTGAGGATGACACCGGATAATATAATCTGTTCTGCCAGGGGTGCTCCCTTGCTATGAGTGGAATTAAAATTTACATAACTTAGGAATTCATCCATTTAGTAAGCTATACATTAACATACATACTTCACAAGACAGCCTAATTTGTAAGTTGCAAAGGAGTCAGCGTAGATAGAATGCATAACTGACTTTTCAATGGCACCTATTTCTCCCAGCCTTAAAGGCTGTCAGAGCTCAGAAAGGTATTGCCCATAATAAGTAGGTACATCATAAACTGGCACAGGCACACAATCCACATTCATGCTCTCACACAGGCTTTGTGATTAGAGCATATAAAGGCCAATGTAGATTGATTCGGCTGACAGTTCTTCAAAGGTCAATATCTCTTTAACTGGAATCGGCAAAACATCAGAGGGAGAGGAGATGAGGAGTGAAGCAGAAGAATGAAGCCATAGTCCATTTAGGTGTTCAAGCTCAAATGTGTGTGTGGATGTGTGTATTTGTTGAGTCTATTCAACTCTGCGGCTCTAATTACGGTAGCTTGTCAAAGAAATACACACTAGAGGAGGACATCTCACAAAAACCTGCAGGCATTGCAGGAGGCAGACAGAAGGAACATAAACATTGTGACTCCTACCCATTTTCTCAAGATACCCCACATAAATGCAGTGAAGTCTGATCTCACACTGTATAGATTTGTGGGTTTCAGCACTGCTGTTTGAGAATGGTCAGGCGCAGAGACAGAGAGAGAGAATGTTCTGGTGTTTTCTACAGTTTTTATACTGAAATGACTAAAAATGTCTGGCCTTTAACCTTCAGCCACATGAAGCAGCACAGTCTTTGTTATTACCGTGTGCTCTTAGGAGATACTTAAATGAGCGAAGCAGCCACAGACCACCACCCACCTCAGTGAAATCACAGCCCATGCAAACAAGATATGCACATAAGTTAATATGGGCCATAAAAAGGAACATTAGATAGAGTTCTCACATTTTCAAGCTTCCCTGGCTCTGATGAGGGCATAAAATTTTAACAATGTGTCTGGGCATTTGCATGGAGTTTTCTGCATGTAAGCATCAGTGCTATATGAGTGTGTGTGTGTGTGTGTGGTGTGTGTGTGGGGTTGTTGTGTGTGTGCGTGGGTGTGGTTGTTGGGTGTATGTGTGTGTGTGCACCGCACTTGTTGTCAAAAGCCGAAGAAACTTCCTCCAGCAGCACAGCACCAGCACCTCAGATGACCCCTTGAAAGGAGCATTTAAACAGTCCTGATCCCACCCACGTTCCACAGAATTCTTTTACAAGCAGGTCCTGGCTTCTGGTTTTAGTTCCAATTTTCCTCTGGCCCTGTCTTGAAGGTGCAAAGCAAGCAATCAGAGGCTTTGGAAGCCCCCATGCCACAAGACGGGGGCAGAGTGACAACTTAAGAAGTAAATGAAAATTTTTTCCCAGGTTGTCTTCCCATCATGAACACAGCCATCCCAGCCAGAAAGGAGTAAGACACAGCCCAGGAAAAGACTATGAATAATAAAGTGCCTTGCACCCACAAAAAAACTCTTAAACTAAAGCCAGCTTGCCTCCGTTCAATCTCTTCTGTGGATAATGTTTTTTTCTTTTTTTTCATTAACCTTTTTTAAAGGGGATATGATGAGGGTTTACAACATCCTAAGAGGAAGCCTCTGAAACTGTCGAATCAGAGTCGCAGGAACCCTCCAGCCCGATCAAACCTCTCGTCCACGGCCAACGTCACTACTCAAACTCTCCAACTTAACTTTTTTTCTTTTCTCTCTCCTTACCCAGTGGCTGCCCGAGCCAACGCAATGTCCCTTTTTTCCCACTCGCTGTGCCCCTTGCTGCGTTAATCTTTTTTTCTCAAACTGAAGGGAGACAATGACGCTGTCTTGAATTCATCCTATCCTATTGGAATGAGCCTTGTTTGTAACACTTTTTGTGCTGGGTCCTTGGAAATGAAGGCCTCTTGCATAAGCAATCTAACAAGGACTGTTGTGGTTTTAATATGAACCAAAAAGATAGTAGCAGTTGATGTCTTGAAGGAGAAGAAATCCATCCCCTGTTTTTTTAAGTGGCTTTTGTCCGTTTTTTAATAATTCCATGGCTGGACGCAATTAATTATGAAATCCAAAAGAAACCGAGTAAACTTTACCAAGAGAAAAAGAAATTTAGAGATGTAACTACGCAACCAGCAAAACTCAGCTTTTGAAAGTTCAAGTTTAATTTAAAAATTTTAACTTGAATTTATTATAACCCTTAGCGGGCAATAAAAGCTTGTAAATAAACACCTTGTTTTTTAATTCTTTAAAGCTTTTTAACTTAATATTAGCCAGAAAAATTACTGGCACAGATTTTTCAATTACCACAATTTAGAAAAACAATTACTGTTATTCCTAAAACGACACAATAAAAAGAAAGGTAACGCCTTTTAAAATGAATGTTAATGTAGTACACAATATGGAAAACACAGAAAGGGAATTTTATTGAGTTTGAGGAGAAAATTTAAACAGTTACTTTTCTAACCAATGAACAGGGTGGCAAGTAAAATTTCAATTATTTGTCTCCCTGTCACCCTTGACCAAACCTCCACACCCATCCCTTCTTCTTTGTATTATCTACTGTTCCTTCCCCCCTTGATCAAACCCCCACACCTACCCTTTCCTGTCCTTTGTCTCAATCACCCTTGTCTGACACTACCTTTTGTTACTTCCATCTGACACCAATATAATCATGGTAACGTCTGGTAACTGATATTCATTTACATACCTGAGCATTGTCATTGGCCATGTATGAAAATAGCGTGTGTTTCACTTTGGCTCTGCCGTCCGCTTCCTACCAGAACCTGCTCTGTGTTAGTAAGTTCACCAGGATGCCGGCATTCTTTATTAAACACACAGCCACAGCAAACCTGAATTGGACTGGAATTATTTTTCTTCACAGAGCTTCTCCCAAACCAGCCAGTAACCTGAATTTCTACATTTACATGCCGGTCTCTCGCTTCACCTGGGATGACAGGGGCAGAATTACAGATTAGGTGCAGTTTGTATTACATATGCTACTAAAGTGTCACAGCAATCAGTGTTCTTTTGGAGGGCTCAGTGGCATTGGATGAAAGAATAAACACTGTGTGTAATGCAGTGACCCAGTTCAAATGTACTCAGGGCAGAATTTGTCCAACGCAGGAGCGGCACATTCCACACAAATTTTTATTTAATGGTGACATCGTTTGCTCCTTTCTTTGGACATTTTTTTCTCTTCAGTTTTGGTATTTCAAAGTCCTGCTGCTGCCTTTCGGCTGCTTGTATCTCGTCTGCTTGGCCTCCATGTGCTTTTCTCTAAAACCCCTGACAGTTTAATGCTATTCCACCCAAATCCCACTCGCCTCTCCATGGCAGGCACCTTAATGCACTAAAAAGACCTGGGATCCCTCACCCAAACAACTCACATTGTTTTTGTTGTACGTGCCAACCACCAAAGGGTGAGGTTTAACCCACATCTCTGGTGGTAGTGGGGGAATGTTTGGGCATTGTGACACCCTACACCACTTTCATGCATCTTTTATTTGGTTGAAAGGTTGGGAAGGGATTTCTTACTTTTTTGAAACAAACTGGCATACTACATCGCGGGGCCCAAATTAACACAACCTCACACTCATCCACACAAAAAGCCTTAAGGCACACCTTATCCGGGGGAGCCACTCCCCCTTTGATTCAGCCCCCAACCCTTTCCTTTTTTTCTCCCCTCCTATCTCTTGTTCAAAATACAGAAACCACTGTTGGCTTCTAACGAAAGATTAGAGTCTCATTCAACCACTTGTGTTTCCCTCCACCATCTCGCTGACTCCTCCAGTCCATCCATCCATCGTATCGATCAACAACCTGATTTGTCCCCCCCTCCGTTTCATCCCTCATCCTTTCTTTCCATACTCTTCATCCCTTCACCATCAACCTTCCCTACATTTTTTTTTTACATCCCCTTCTACAGTTTTATGATATTGGTTCACCCTTGTATCCGTAATGTGCAATAAGACCATTAGTTACCATTACCTTTTCTTCCATCTCTGGCCTCCTTTATAGACTTTTACATAATTTAGACTTTTATAGATATAATTTGGACATGAAATAACATAAATATTTATTTTTCAAAGGAAGAACCAGGTTCACCATATCATTCTCTATAAAATCGCACAAGGAGACAGACCTCTCCCAGTGCACAGATGGAGCATTTATTTTACCTTATGATCCATGGACACCCTTGTGTACCCTCAAGCGCTTGATGGTTGGGGACTCTGTCTGGCTTCTTCGTGGCTTGGACCAGGTCCATCTAACGGTGGGTGGATAATGATGGAGCCGGCGGAGGTAAGAAGAGTCCCACGGAGCTGCTGTTGTACACCAACATAAAGCTAGGTACCATGTGCATGATGAGCCAGCTAACCCGTTGGCACTAGAAGACACATGAATAAATAATTCAAGAGACCATAAAAAACAAACATGGCGCCGAGCTCTACTTAGGTAAAATAAGCTGCATTCTCGGTTAAGAATTCGCATGCTAATTAAATTCAGCGTTTCAAAGCAGAAGCCAGCACAATAACAGCTGCTCCTTTCCTCGGGCAAGGACTGCAGATGAAATGTCAGCTGCTGCCACTAAAATACGGCACAACATGCTCTGTCAACATTTTTTAAGGCACGGTTCAAAAAAAAAGCATTGTCTGAATTCAAACATGTTTGAAGAAAAGCTATTAACTACGAAAAGATGGGAATAGAATACTCCAAAAGCTGATTAGGTCAATGGACACATTAAACGTGTAACTTCTGAATAGGAAAAAAGCCCCCATAAACACACACCGCCAAACAGCACGGCACGGCGGGCCCACAACACCACACAACCCACACACAAACGAGCATTACAATGATGTTTCCTGTAGGTCTTCTCATAATTACCATTCTTATCTTCATCGTCATTTCCCTACGTTGGCAGCCGCAGACGAGCCTTCATCCTATCGGGCCGAGCCTCTGTCTCTCTCTCTCCTCTCTCTCTCCTCTCTCTCTCTCTCTCTCACGGAGCGTCGGTACTCTTCAGCATGCAACACTTGAGCGGCAGCATCACTGGGATCAGCGCGCAAAGAAAAACGACGCTCCACTACTCTTCTCCCATGCTTTCCACTACAGGGACGCTCTCGCTCAACACTGCGCTCCTCATGGTCCTAAACAACTCCTACTCCCCGAAGCTCAGTGTCAGGGTTCACTGGGGGTTCATGACTCGATAATTACACACATAACATTATAATAACGTATAACACGCAGTGATACTCCGATTGAATATTAAGGGGGATCTGTGGTTCTCAAATATGGGCTTATTCCACATTTTTATAGGCCTGTGTATCTCTGTGTCCATATCAGTTTGCCATAATGTTCCTTTAGAGTTTTTTATTGGCACAATTATCAAATGACTTGTCATTATTCTCAACAGTGTGAAACAGCTCATTTCCCCACAATAGTATGATTTTTTTATTGCTATCATACAGAATCACAATTATTTTTCAAATGGCCCTGTGATGCATTCTGTGTTGATGACCAAAATGTGTAAGATTGCTTTTCTAATGACATGTATTATTCTTAGATATGTTAATCAGTTTGCTCATGGGGCAAGTCCTCCCATCCCAAATCTCTCCAAACATCCGTTCATCCTGTATTTCACAACCTATCACTAATTACTGTTTTGTTGGTCACCACCGTTTTCTCGCACCCTTCTGTTCATTTTTCAGCCCATATGAGGATTTCTATTCTTCATAGAGACAATTTACCACAGCTTTAATTATATTTTCACATATTTGTTACTGTAAAGTTCTTACTGTATTGTGACTATATATACAAAATGTAGAGACATAATTTCAGTGGACTCACTCTCACTGTCAGAGCTGTTTTATGCAGAAATAAAGATTCATTCATTTTGATAGCAGTGATTCACTGACTAAATGATATTTTTTAAAATGTCAACATGAGTTAAATGTTTTGAGTGAGTGACAGCCGTTTAGGTCAAACGAAGGCGTGTGCTGCAGACTTAATGTGTTCTGAATAGTGTTTCATAAAATGTGCTTCAGATACGAGAATCTTTTATTTAGTTGCCTTAGCTTGTCTGTTTTCTAATCTTATCTTTCTTGTCTGTTTTTAGAAAACAGACAAGAAAGATACATCCTGTTGAACGTTATGATAAGGGTGATAATAGTGAATATACTGACAACTATTCTTGGTACAGAGCATCACCTTTTTTTGTAATTTAAGTAGATTTCTGGACATCCTATTTAAGGACAGAAAACTATTCGCATTTGTCACAGAAACCTGAGCAACTAAAGCTCCTCGTGGGAAACTGAATTGCTGGAGGCTGTAATCTAGACAGTAGGAGCTGGGAAATGGGGAATGAGTCTTTTTATAGACACCCTCTGAGCTGGCATCATTGTTTTCATTCGCTAATGTGTTGTTCTAGTCATTCCTCAACAAGTCTCCTTTCACAAACCGAAATGTATCCATTGGCTTTGTGGGAATTGATCAGTAATTTATCACACAAACAACAAAGAATATCACAGACCAGAGGCTGTAAGAAAAATCAGGGTAGTCTCCTTAAAAGTTACAGAACAGCATGTCTTCCCTTTTATGGTTTAGGCCCCAGATTTACACACGTTTCACTGCCTTTTTAGACTAATTAGCTTTCCATCTGAAAGCCAAATACAATAACTTGTGTAGAATACGATATGGCACAAGATAACGCAGCATATTACAACACAGTGCAATGATTTGATATATTACAGTATGATTCAATATCATATGATGATACCACATCAAATAAAACCAGACATATGAGAATATAATAGATACAATTTTTGTCATCTTTTTGTTGACAGTAGATGATCTCCAGCCAAATGTGCTTAAAGTCAGTGGTTCCCGCCCCAGGGTGTCACAAGATAAACCTGCAGCGCTCACAAGATTATTAACAACATAGGAAAGAAGATGAGAAATCATTTTGATGATGGGTTATTTTTCTAGTTATGTATTTATTTTTGTGCGAAACACTGGAGATTTGTCACTCCAAAAGCATTTAAAATGAAACAATCTGAGAAGGGGGTGTCACTCTTTGGTTGAACTCACAGCTCCTAGATACATGACGAGGTGTCTTTAGTAGGCAACGCTTGATTATAAAAGTGTAATATCATATTTTTTAAATAAATAATAAATAAATAATGTCTGCAAAGTAGAAGAATGCTTCAAAATAAGAGAATGAAGACTCAACAAACACAGACAAACATAGAATCAAATGACAATGGCACTAGCATAATTATGAGTGAGTGGGGGAAACAACATAAAAATCTTAATATAAAACAAAATTCTAATTGATTGTTAAACCAAGGTTTGAATTTTCATGTTGCCTTTTTAAAAAAGCTAGATTTGTTGCAAAATGTTGGAGTCCTATGTACAATGTTTTGATCGCCTTTTGTCTCTAATATAGCCTTTGTAACCATTGTCTACTGATCCAAGCTGAGGATAATAGCTCTGAAACAGAACCTATTATAGAGCATGGCCATTTGTTGGTTTGACAGCGATCAATACAGTTTTAAACTCGGCCCTACATATAAATGGACACTGGCGTGAGGCTGCTAAATTGAAGATAACATTTCTTTGAGCTCTTGTTACAGTTAAAGCCAGCATGAAGGATTCAGAGTTCTACTCTTATCTGAGAAATTGCTGAAAATAGTATCTATATTTATACCTAATGACTCTCTGTTTAGATTAAAGTTAGCATTATACACGTTTATATAAAACTATGCAAGTTAAAATCATTGTAGAAATTTTGATTATGTTTATATTATTATAACTTTTCCAATTTTTCTGCCTCTTTGCTGTTTTCTTTGACACCATATGGCCATATCATTGGTAGAATAATTGTAATCACCAAATTATCTGTATCACTGAGGAGCAGTGCCTCATAATGCACCTCGTCATTGTGAATTCAGAGGATTAGGCGGCTGGCAGCCTGTGTGTTTTGATTAGAAGTGTCCCTTAGGTCCCAAATGCATCTCAAAACACAACTCCAGGGAACACACACACACACACACACACACACAGAAACACAAGGGCAAGGCAAATGTCTGTGGAACGCAACTTTTTTTAATTAACTCGATCCTCCTATCCAGTGAGGTGCCAGACGGCTGTATGCCTATGCTGAGCCAAATACAATACAAGTGTGAAATACTCTGCTCTGTTTGCACCTGTTTGCTGTGCCAAAAGCTGTTTGTTTTCACCCATTACAATGTCCCCAGCTTGAAGAGTAGATGCCTCAGGGTGTCAGTAAAGAAACTAAACTCAGACTAAAACTCAAGGCACTGTGAGTATGTTCCCAAAGCTCTTAATATTACAGAGCTGATACAGTGGTACAATATATGTTATTTGAAGGGGTATGGCCCTAACTCCCATACTAAAAACTAAATATGTTGTCATGTCTCCTCTAACTTGATATGGGGTTGTATTTTCAGCAGGACAGATGCTACGGAA